CTGGTCTCCATGCTGCCTTTTCTGTAGATCTCACAAAATTTCTCTTAGCATTAAATGAGATAATGTTTATGAGTAGATTTTGAAAACTGAAAGCAGCTGTATACATCGGGTGGCATGAGCAGTCTCTTGAAAACGCACACACTGGCACGCAGGCACACGCATGCCCACGCAAGCCCACGCACACTGGCACACACACACACTGACACGCACACACACTGGCGCACACACACACTGACACGCACACACACTGGCCTGCAGGCACACGCATGCCCACACAAGCACACACACTGATGCGCACACACACTGGCACACAGGCACACACATGCCGACACAAGCACACACACATATCCACACAAGCACACACACTGGCCTGCAGGCACACGCATGCACACACAAGCACGCACACTGGCACACACACACTGCCACGCAGGCACACGCATGCACACACACTGACACACGCACACACTGGCACACAGGCACACGCATGCCCACACAAGCACACACACTGACACGCTCACACACTGGCCTGCAGGCATACGCATGCCCACACAAGCACGTACACACTGGCACACAGGCACACGTATGCCCACGCAAGCACACGCACACTGGCACACACACTGGCACGCAGGCACACGCAAGCACACACACACTGACACGCACACACTGCCCTGCAGGCACACGCATGCCCACACAAGCACACACACTGACACGCGCACACACTGGCACACAGGCACACGCATGCACACACAAGCACACACGCATGCCCACACAAGCACACAGACTGACATGCGCACACACTGGCCTGCGGGCACACACATGCACACACAAGCACACACACTGACAGGCACACGCATGTACACACAAGCACACACACTGACATGCGCACACACTGGCCTGCGGGCACACGCATGCACACACAAGCACACACTGACAGGCACACGCATGCACACACAAGCACACACACATGCCCATACAAGCACACACACTGACACGCGCACACACTGGCCTGCACACACACGCATGCACACATAAGCACGCACACTGACACGCACACACTGGTACGCAGGCCCTTGCATGCACACACAAGCACTCACACTGACGCACGCACACACTGGCATGCAGGCCCTCAAATGCACACACAAGCACGCACACTGAAACACACATGCACTGGCACGCAGGCACACGCATGCACACACAAACACGCACACTGACGCGCACACACTGGCACGCAGGCACACATGCACACACATGCACACACACTGACACGCGCACACACTGGCACACAGGCACTCGCATGCACACACAAGCACGCACACTGACACACAGGCGCATGCAAGCACACACACACACTTTTTTTCTTTCATGACACCAGTTTAAAAGAAACTGACTTCTCATTAAAATTGACTGCAGTCTTTGGAATCCAAGAGATAAGAAGTGGCAAATGTCATTTTTGATTCCCGAAGTTGTCGACCTTCACTATATTAGGGAGAGTGTGGGTCTTTTCCAGTGCTTTTGTCTCTGCAAGCACCAAGAATTATTCTGTGGTTTTGCAAGATTTCCCCAATTTATGTTCATCTCCTGCTTCAGGTTTTTCTCTCCATTTGTTTTGATATGACTAAATAAAACTGCAGTGAACTTTGAATAATTGAAAACAACAAAAGAAAACAGAAATAGGGTGAGGGGAGGGGAGAGGAACAGAGGGAAGGGGTGAGGGAGAGAGGAAAGGAGAGTTTTCTTGCTGCCGATCTAGTTAACAACTCTAGAAAGGAAGGTGTCATTCTTGGCAAATGTCCTAACCGGGTGGTTTGTGATCCGCTCATGTCACCTCTATCCCATCAATTGTGGCAGTTTTGTTTTAAGGTCAAAGCCAGCAAATTTCCGGGAAATTGGGACAGTTTAAACCTTGGTTAAGTGACTAAGTGCTTGGTCTGGGGTGTTTTGGAACTGTGGCCACCATCTGTTTCTCCTTTAACAACATCTCCGTTTCCAGTATTTATACTGGTGTGTTCTCTCTCTCCATACATGTGAGTGCGTGTGCGTGTGTGCCCTGGTCCTTTGACCCTTGTCACACGTGTCCCCGTAAGTGCATTAATGTTTTCTTTGTCTGCTTCTCGGAGTCCAAGTCCACAGTACCTGGGGCTCAAGTACTTAGACATAATGCTGCTACCACTTAACAAAAAGGAATAGATAATATGAAGAGATTGAGAAAAGAGATTAAACTTCTGTTTCACATGAAATACAGACACTGAGACAAAAATAAAACTTAGAACCCATTACAGAGACCGGGGCATTGATCACATCCAGTGGGTAAGGGCCACCAATTCAAACAATATTTATGATTCATCTATTAATAAGAAAAAGTTACTTATTTTTTTTAAAGATTTTCTCTCCTTATTTGACACACAGAGAGAGAGCACAGCAGGGGGAGTAGCAGAAGGAGAGGGAGAAGCAGACTCACCACTGAGCAGGGAGCCCAACATGGGGCTGGATCCCAGGCCCCTGGGATCACGACCTGAGCTGAAGGCAGATCCTTAACCGACTGAGCCACCCAGGAGCCCCAGTAAGAAAAATTTAAATGCCTTGTGATCTTACAACTCATATAAGAGAAAAGCAAATTTGACAACAATCCTGAAAATTCACACGACATTGCCAATTATGGGTTGTAAAGATAAAAGAAACTTTATCGAAGTATCACTAATTAAAATAAATTTAAATTAACCATGACAATAGAAAAAAAACTTCATTGATGGTTTATCTTTCCTACAGAAGTAGGATAATATATTGGTATCATATAAAGTAATCAAAAAATAGGGAGCCAGAATTTTAGGAAATAATATTTTTAAAGCATTGCAGAAAGTTAATTGATATAACATCTAAAATACTATTATATAATAATTATATTGTTATAATTATTATGTGATACGGTTATAAAATTATTTGGTAATATATTATTAGCATTATTTTAAAAATACTTTGTTATTTTTTATCTTTTAAAATTTTATTTTTGATGATTTCTCATCTTAAATAATATTACTTTTGTATCCAATTCTGTATTTGTAATTTTTTCTTTAAAGAGGATACTCTCTGCAGGTTTATATAAATTTCAGTCTTCCCAAAACCTAGATTTACTCTGGCCCCAAATCTCATGTCCTGTCAACCCAAGGACATATCTTTTGTTCCCCCGAGTGCATCAAAACCCCAAAGCCTTTGGATTCCAGAGCCTACACCCAAATCTGATAGACCCCAGGCTTGTGGTGGCATGAACTCATTCACTCACTAATGTGGCTCTAATTCTCTCCTTTTATGCTATTTAGGGCCTTCCCTCCTTTCAAGGTTGGACATGCATTTTTGTTTTGTTTTGTTTATGACAATTTGTTTTTTATTATTTACATATAATGTACTATTTGTTTTATGTACAGGGGTACAGGTGTGTGATTCATCAGTCTGACAGAACACACAGTACTCACCACAACACATACCCTCCCCAGTGTCCATCACCCAGCCACCCCATCCCTCCCACACCCCGCGCTCCAGCAGCCCTCAGTTTGTTTCCTGAGATTAAAAGTCTCTTACGGTTTGTCTCCCTCTCTGGTTTTGTCTTGTTTCATTTTTTCTCTCTTCCCCTATGATCCTCTGCCTTGTTTCTCAAATTCCTCATATCAGTGAGATCATGTGATACTTGTCTTTCTCTGATTGACTTATTTCACTTAGCATAATACCCTCCAGTTCCATCCACGTCGTTGCAAATGGCAAGATTTCAATTTTTCGATGGCTACATAATATTCCATTGTATATATATACCACATCTTCTTTATCCATTCATCTGTCGATGGACATCTGGGTGCTTTCCATAGTTTGACTATTGTGGACATTGTTGCTGTGAACACTGGGGTGCAGGTGCCCCTTCGGATGACTACCTTTGTATCTTTGGGGTAAATACCCAGTAGTGCAATTGCTGGGTCGTAGGGCAGCTCTATTTTCAACTTTTTGAGGAACCTCCATACCGTTTTCCAGAGTGGCTGCACCAGCTTGCATTCCCACCAACAGTGTAGGAGGGTTCCCCTTTCTCCGCATCCTCGCCAACATCTGTCCATTCCTGTTTTGTTAATTTTAGTCATCCTGACTGGTGTGAGGTGGTATCTCACTGTGGTTTTGATTTGGATTTCCCTGATGCCGAGCGATGTTGAGCACTTTTTCACGTGTCTGTTGGCCATTTGTATGTCTTCTTTGCAGAAATGTCTGTTCATGTCTTCTGCCCTTTTCTTGTCTGGATTCTTTGTTCTTTGGGTGTTGAGTTTGATAAGTTCTTTATAGATTTTTGGATACTAGCCCTTCATCTGATAAGACATTTGCAAATATCTTCTCATGTTCTGGACATGCATTTTTAAAGCATATTTGGAAACACTTTACCCAGTACCTTATGTGTTCAGAGTGGGAAGGAATGTGTGTATCAGCTTTGTCAGCTAACATGACCGGAGTGAACTTTTATTTTCTTCTGTAACTTTATGGATGCACACATATCCTAGGGTCCAAATTCCTCTCGAATGAACTAATGATAACCCCGACATAGTCCCCGTAATGTCCAAGAGTGTTTCATGTGCTCTGCCTCACTTGACCTGTAAGAGAACCCGGGGCACGGGAGAGCTGTTCTCACCCCAAACAGACAGGGCAACAGAGCCTGGAGATGTGGCTTCCCTGTGATCGATTGCCCAGCTGGAGCCCAGGGGCTGTCCCCTCCTCCTTGCTGCTTTCCACCTGGACTGGGACGGAGGCCCCTCCGCCTGTTTCCCCCGAACCACGACAGCGCAGCTGCAGATGAAAACAGGCCTTTCTCAGATCCGGTCCGCCCTGGAATGGGGGGAAAGAATGAAGGGAATTCTCCCTTTGTGCCGCGTCCCAGAATAGGGCCCCAGGTACACATTCTTTCCTAGTAGAAATCTGTTGGGAAAACGTTATTACCTTCCTGAATGCTAGTCAACTGCTGTTGCTAAAATCGGAGCATGATTCGTGACCACTATGTCCCTCTAAAAAGTGCCATTTCCAAGCAGCTGTTGGCCATGTGGAAGGAACGGCTGGCTTTGGAGACGTCTGCCTCTGGGGGAGGGCGGCTGTCAGGCTCGTCGCAGTCACCGGCACCGGAGCCTGGCAGCCCTGACAGGAACCCTGGAACCGAGGGGTGGCCTCTCACCCTCACTCTCCAAGTTCAATCCCTGTGAGAGAGTTTTTCCATATCGATAGATTCATTTGGTTCCATAAGCCATTATTTACTAAATTGTATTGTATTTTTTAAAAAAAATTTTTTTTTAAGATTTATTTATTTGATAGAGAATGGGAGAGAGAGTGAGAGAGAGCACAAGCAGGGGGAGCAGCAGAGGCAGAGGGAGAAGCAGACTCCCCAGCGAGCAGGGAGCCCGACGCGGGGCTCGATCCCGGGACCCTGGGATCACGACCTGAGCCGAAGGCAGACGCCCAACTGACTGAGCCACCCAGGCACCCCTATTTAAGAAATTTTAAATTAGGAGGACTGATGTTATTAACCAACAGACCCCAAATTCCTAGACATTTCAATGTCAGAATCTCCTATCTAAACCCGTTTCCCAAGCGTGACATTCCTCCCTGTAATTAATATCACAGGCGTATGGCTCAGCTCCAAGGCGTTCTTGGCCGTGTGGATGACATGACCCCTGGCCATTAGCAATTGTGATTTACACACTGCTGCAGGGGAAGATGCTTCTAAAATAACAAGAGAATTTCTTTGAGGGTGAAATCTGTTTTAAGACCCGGCTTGGGGAAAAATTAAAAATAGCAACCAACAATTCAGTGCATCTCCTCTCCAAAATGCTCCCAAGGCCGTCGAGGCTGCTCCTGGGCGTCCGGTGAGAGCCACTCTCTAAGGCCAATGATTTATGTGCCTTTCCTTGTGGCGGGTGTGGGGGCCAGCCATGCGCTATTTTTAAGATGAAATGACTATAACTTCACTTGCCGTTTCCAAATGGATTGCATTCCTTCACTCATATTCTCTTCCCTCACTGGTAACATGATGTAGATTTGAAATGACACAGAAGGAAATTCTTCCATGTCCACAAGCCTGGCAAAACTTAAGTGTTGCCGGAATGGGTTTTGAACACCGACTATAAAATTTCTGCTGGTGGTCTTTCTTCAGCGGGAGGAGGAAGCCATCGTGCTCACGCCCCAGGCAAACCCAGACAAGAAGAGTCGCATTCCTGTCGCACCGCCTTGGCAGGCAGTCCGTGGGTGGTGGCCGCATGGCTGGGTGCTCTGAATCCTTCCATCCCGTGGTGGCATTGTGGACCTGCCCCCCCCGCCCCCGCCGCATCTCAGGGGCGGCTCCTGACGGCCGGCAAACGAGTGGGCCTTGAAGCAGCCCCTAAATCATTCGACAGAGAGGATTATGAACCCAGAGCCACTGTGTCGCCAGAGAGTTGAGGGACCAGAAGTTATGGAATTACGTTTCACTCTGAGCAAACACACTGGAAACCCCACACATCCCTGAGTGTTGGTTACCAGGGTGTTTCAAGAACATCAAGTTCTGCCATGACACCCCAGTGCCCTGGAAGGGAGTTCTTACACCCTCTCCCCTGTAAGCAAGTATGGTGGACATATCTTCTATTGTCTGGTCAGCAATCCTTCCTTTGTAGAAGTTTGGGAGAGGTCACGTAAAAAGCAGGGAGCCTCCCCTTTGCATTCCCGGGGAGCAGCAACACATCGTGAGCAGTGACGAAATAGCTCATCAGGTTCTTGTCCGTGGTCGCTGGGGAGCTCGTGCCCACTGAGGGAGAGGCAGGGAACCTCATCTGGAGGTTCTGAGTTAGAGAGGAACAGCTCCGTGCCCTCCACAGGCGATAGCCAACGAGACTTAGACCATCCTCCATCGTAGAGAGGATGGGTATCCATTTTGAAGTTGTATTTATGGAAACAAGAGAGAATGTACACACAAGGTGGCCAGGAAGGGGGAAAAGGCCATCCAGAACTCTTGCTTGTTGTGCGGCCAACATCCCTCCTTCAGTTCCCAGCCCTACTTCTCATGATTTGCTGGGATGCTTCTCACATCGTCCAGCCCTACCTCTAGGGCTAGCTTATGACAAAGTTATACCAGTCGGAACTTTCTCCCCTGGATCTTGAAGCTGTTGGGCATCACTCACCTCTCTCAGACACATCTGCATCCTCCAGCTGCTGGTTTCTGCATCCGTGCTGAGGTGCTGGAATCCTCCGGAAGCCCTCTGAACCTGGAATGGAATCGTTCTGAGCTGTGTATTTTGCCTCATCTCCCAGCCTTGCCCCAGGGGTGCAAGTTTTCTTGCCCCCTGCAGCAGCTGGCTGTGCAGAACACCCCTTCCCTGGATGATTTCCCCCCCGCACCCCCAAATCCTTTCTCTCAAATCCTCGTCTCCGGGTCTGCTCCCGGGAGAAATCTGATGGAGCCAGGAGGTGTGATGTTGGATCTCTCTATTGGACAGTCTGCAAATGCTAACCCACCCCATTTTATCGGCAAGGATACTGAGGCTGAGGAGGCAGGAATCACCCAGCTAGCAGACCGTGCCTGTAGGATGGAAATTAGAATTGACCCTGTGGCTCCTGGCTGGCTCAGGCAGTAGAGCATGAGACTCTTGATCTCAGGGTCATGAGTTTGAGCCCCACGTTGTAGGTAGAGTTTACTTAAAAAAAAAAAAAAAGTGTCCTGAGAATTCACCCTACAACTCTGATCCCCCCACAAGACAAGGGTTTCTCAGGCTCAGCCCTGGTGACATTTTGGGCAGGATCGCTCTTTCCTGTGAAGAGTTGTCCTGTGTAAAGCAGACCATTTGTCAGCCCACCCGCCCCTCCCTGGCCTCTATGCACTAGATACCAATAGCTCCCCGCCCTAGCTGTGACAAACTACAAAATCTCCAAATTACCAAGGGTCCCTGGGAGGAGGGGCGGATTCCTCCATGATGAGGACCACTGGCTGAGAGAGTTAGGTTCAGCTGGAAAAACGCTATGAGAGATCAGAGGTCTACACTGTTGAAGAAAGGCAGAGAGACCGCACACTCACAGCCTGTTTATTGACCCTGTATAAACCTCTGGTCCAATCTCGTGTGTTCTGATTCCAAGTCTGGCCCACTTTCCATTATGCTGGCTCCCTGAGATCAATTGTTCCATTGTTCTGCTTGTTAGAAAGTTCTTTCCTATTGAGACCAAATGTGCTTCCCAGGCACTTACTTCATCCGTGTGTCCTTCAGAGCCATGCCCGAAGCCTAATCCCTTGTCAGGGGCTGACATTTCAACTATGTGAGAGTCAGTCATGTGTCCCCTCCCCTATAGATTGGGTGCACCAGCCGGGTGCCAGGTGTTGAAAACACACAGGGGACGGCTGTTGGACTTGGAGCTCAAACCTCTAGGCTCTCTCTCAACCTTTGAACAGGAATTTCCAGGGGCCTGGAGTCTATGTGTTTTAAAGCTTCCAGGTAATTCTGATGTAGCCAGTATTTAGGGACACATTCATATACATTGCAATCAGTTTTTAAAAGTTATTTATACAATTGCAGTGATGACCATCTTTTTGCTACTGCTTATATCTAGGGGTGCTTACATAGCAGTGCTGACCCCTGGTGGAAACCAGTTACCCAAGTGACACCATCAGAGACCTGGACCACTTGGGGAGTAAGCAGCATCCGAATGACATGTTTGAGCAAGGCTCCAGGTCACCTCCCCTAATTTAAGGGAGTGGGAAAGCAAACCTAACGGTCATGGGACCAGAGCACATCCAGATGAAGATCCTAACTTAAAAGAAATGCACATAAAAAAAACCTGACAGCAGCGAAAAGAGTACAAAGGTGGGGTGAAAAAATTAAAATAGGCTCTTGTATCCACTCAAGCTCAATCACTATTTGCTCAGCCCCTCATAAACGCGAGTGACTGTTCAAGTCCCATCTGCCACGCTTTTAATTTACATGCCCTATATTCTATTTTAAGGGTTCCCAGCCTTCCCAAGTGAGCACACGATTTTCCTCCTTTTTTAACTGCCTTTTTTTTTTCAATGAAGGAAATTGCAATGGCTTGCTTTTTTCTTGGAAGAGTTTTTCCTGGTTTCCTGTTCATTGTTAACCTCAGCTAAATACTCCTCACGCAGCCTTAAGCCTTTAACTCACGTCGCTTCTAGTTAGATGTTCTCCTGTCCTCTCTTGGTAGAGTCCTGTGTTATTTCCAGCTGCTCGGAGCAGGGTCCAGGACGGTTCACAGCAGGCACGACTCCTCCCTTCGACCACAACAGTTTGGCTGATGAGCACAGAGAAAGTCTGCACGTCTGTACAAAATCCTGACCAGCCCAACCCCCACTTCTTTTTAAAGTGAAATATGTCTACATTTCAAAGTCCATCACGGCAACTGGATACCATAGAGGAGAACCTCTGTCTCGCTGGAGGCATTTTCTGGATCTTTTGAGGGTGATTCCATTTCACGTTGCAAGGATTGCATGTAAGTATGTAGGAAAGAGAGAGAGAGAACACTGAGATTTGAAAGAGGGAGAGAGAATGGATATTCTAGCAAAGTAATGTGTCGAGTCCTGGTGGGTCATGCTACCCTAAATAACTTGGGCTTGCACTGGCTGGCTTTTGTTCATAAAATGTTAATCCTTTCAGGTGCAGATCTATATAAAACATTGGGGAGTCAAGGGTGCACAGAACTCTCACCTCGCTTGTGCTACGTAAGGTAATGTTTAAGCTAACAGTTTGAAATGATTTTGAGGGGTCTAACAAGACGTCACTTGAAAAACTTCCAGAATCTTTATCAAATACTAACACGTGCCATATGGCATATGCGACGTCAGACTAACGGCGTCAGGTAGAGAGCACCGTCATTGTTTTCTAGATTGCCTTCTGGTGCACACATGTCAGGGAAAAAGTTAATTTCTCGTGTCGACTATGATGATGGGGGAGGGGGTCATTTCCTTTCATAAGGAAAAGCAGACCTGGTATTGGAAAATAATTCTCCTTTGCTTGCAGGCAAAATGAGCAAATGTCTTAAATGTAGTGCCCAGAGTCCCCCGGTGCTGGACGGGGTGTGGCCTGCGTGACGGCCCTCCTTGCTTCGCACAGAGTGGTTGCTGTGGTATGTGAGATGCTTTGCACGCCTTACCTCTCCCAATTCCCACAACCACCATAGGAGGTAGTATCCCCATTATCTGCATCTTCGATAAGGAACGGGCATGGTGGAGCTAAGATTCAGTGGAGGCTTCCTCCCTGAAGACGCAGTGTGTACTCATCAGCATCCAGGCTGCCATCGTTTAGGGGAATAATTAACTTCCTGGAGTTGGGGAAACTTGAAAGGAATGCAGGAGTAGATATCTGCAAGAGAAAGAACTTCGGAGTGAAGCACAGACGTGCAGGGCACTCTGGCTGGTTTGGTGAGTTGGAGAAGTGGGACAAATATTTGATTATTCGATTCTAGAGCCAATGAAAATGTTAAATTGCTTTCACGGTGATCTCATTTGTTTGCAATCCTGGTGCGCATTAACGTGAGGGACAAGCGACCTGTCCGGGTGTGCAGTGGAATGACATTTGCTTCAGGGGATGTGCTTTCTTGCACTTTGTCTGTGTGCTCACTGGAGTAAGCCAGTGCCTGAATGGCTTTTGGTCAGCTAGGCAGTGATGGTATGGCTGGCGGGTCTGGTTGCTATCCCTGGCTGGCTGGAACGATGGGATGGGGGCAACTCGGGTGTGGAGACTAACTCAGGATGGTAAACAGCTTTTTGTAAAAAAAAAAAAAAAAAAAAAAAAAAGACTAGGAACCATCACTGTGGTAATTTCAGGGCAAAGTAGGCAACGGCACCCACGGCTGAACAAGCCCACCCAAGGTGTACCCGCCAGGCGGTTAAGAGCATAGATTCTGCAGCTGGACCTCCTGGGCTTGACTCCGCCTCTGCTCTTGGGCTGCTTTTCGAGCTCTCTGCGCCTGGATTGCTCGCATCTGAGAAGAGGCATAATAATAGCATCTACTTCATAGGAGCGATTGCTAGGACTAGATGAATTGATAGACTTAAAGCAGCAGAACAGGGTTTGGCCACGATACACGCCCTGCGGTGATGTCATGTGTTACTATTTTGATGCCGACCAGTGATCCCCACAGCCAGGTCTCCTTTTCTAAATCAGGTGGTTTTCTTTTCTGTACACTTTCACTCTCCTGTTTCCCACTGTGCCCCTGGGAAGTCGGCAGATACTATATTATCCCCTTTTTGCTGATGAGGAAGTGGCGCGGGAGGGGATTATGTGAGTGGCTAAGTGCCCAGTCAGGTCCCTGGCTCAGCCTCCAGCACTTCCTACGATCTTGCAATAAAGTCTCAAGAAGAGAAGGGAGCAGCCCTGTGTTTGGTCCAAATGCTCCCTTCTCATCCACTATGTCATTAACCCCTCCATCCACACGGTGCCCCCGATGGTAGAATGTGCTGCTGGATCAGAGTCTCTTCATTAAGGTTCATTTCCAAAAGCTATTAGAAAGACATTTTAGACCCCAGCCACATCATGCCTGTCCTCCGGCGACACTTGCTCTGTTTTTGCATTTCTTGATGCACAGAACAGGTGCCGTGATGGTTAATGGTCCCCCCTTCTCCTTTGCTCTGCAAAACTAGGATGGCAGCTCCTTGAGTAGCTGCTTTGCTCACTGGGGGAAACTAAGCTGAAAAGCAGGGGTTCTTTTCGGCTCAGCAGATGCTAAGGCGATAAGCTGCACCTTTTAGAGCCTCCGGGAGGCTCAGCCAGCCTGGGCTGAGCTTGTGGGGCCTGTCTGTCTGGTTCTCTGCTCTCCAGCGGCTGCGGTTATGGACGTGTGTCTGAGCTCCGAGCTGCGGGAAGCACCATGCACCCCAGATGGCTGCTTAGAGCCGGCGGCGGCGGCGGGGTCTCTCCAAGAGGATGGCACCGGCGGACCCCCAGGAGGTAACCTCCTTCCTCACCGCCACCCCGTGTCAGTTGCTTTTCTGGCCACGGCATTTCCCAGTTAACTTCAGTGACAAGAATTCCCATCTCCTTCTAATTCTAGGTTGTTCCTATTAGTGAAGCTTAGTAGAAAAGTGCCTTTAGGCAAGCGTGAGCATAGCATTAAAAGTAACCTCTATTTTTTCATTATTTACTTATCTAAATTTGTCTTGTGCTATGTATAAATCTCAAATGGCTATATTTTTGTCACAAGAACTTTTTAAAAAGTAACAAAATCTTGATTCGTGTCTGCTTTTCGCCAACGTGTTCTCTTGGCAGCTACGTCACACGTGGGTTGCATTTCTGGACAGGGACTCGGTAGTAATAAATAATAGACCTGACAGGTAATGTCAGAAAAGCCAAGGTATGGCATTTCAACCATTTATAATCATTTAACACAGTAAAATTATGTTCCAACTCAACTAAGACGGGATGCTATTTATTTTTACTAAACTAGTTTACGTAAAAAGGCAATTCTGTCTCTAAAATCTGATCTCTCTAAAACTCTCAGACTAGCATCGATACAATAAATGAAAACATTTAGTGTGCAATAAGCATACATTTCTTTATCTTTGTTGAACATAGAAGGGTCTTATGGGAGAATATTTATGTGCCCGCGTTTCTTTACAATGTTGGTTGGGAAAACATATCTATCAGCTCATTCGCCTGTGCAATGATGAGCTGTTCCAATTCAGCCCCTTGACTTTTCCCACCGTCTTGAGAGAACAATAGGTCCCCAGCTGGTGGGACATGGGGGGAAGGGAAGAAAGACCTGCCTGAGCCACAGTGGGGAGGGAAGTCTGCAGGGGCTGGCGTGGGTCCTGGCTGGTCTGGCTGCCCCCAGTCGCCTACCCCGGGGACGAAACCTCAGAGGAAAGGGGGGCAGCCCTGTATTGACTCCTTGCCCCGACCGGCCTGTACCAGCCCCTGAATTTCAGGGATTTTTTTTTTTTTTTTTTGAGGGTTGTTGTTAAACATGGCCGTTATTGAAATACAAGTTTTGAGAGATATTGAAAAACCAAGGTAATGAACACTCACAACGCATCATGACTTAACTTTATTACATTTTGAGATTATCTTTATGCATGCCTACGCTCCTGAGCTTCCCTGGTGTCTGTTGTCCTGCCCGGTGGAAAGCAGGTGGAAAGCACCCGTCTCAGTGGGCAGCGCACGTCCTTTCCCGGGGATGTCTGCGGGGAGCGTGGGAGCATTCCCACTGTGGTGACCACCAAACCCTACAGATCAGTGCTTCCTCCCCTCGCCCCAAGCTGATGGTTGAACATGTCCCGGCACACCACCGTCTAGTCTTCTGCCTTTTTATCATCTCTCCAACAGTTCCGTCAGCCTCTCAGCTCGAAGGGAGAGACTAGGGCCTCTTTGGTCATTCACAGAAAATGAGCTGGTGGTGTCGGATGTTAGGAGCACCCCCTAAGTGGTGGGTGCGGGCCATGGGTCCCCCTCCCGCCCCTCCTGACTCCCCACAGCCCCTACCAGGACGATGTCTCTCGCCTTGGTCACTATTTATTAGCAGGTTCCCGCCAGCTCAGTGAAGTCCCAGGTCTCTGGAAGCTCACCTTGTAGGTCAGGGCACAGAATTCTGGCCCCGGGGGGTGGAACTCCCACTACGTCAGACCCGGGGGCGAGGGAGGGCCAGAGTAGCACCCTGGAGAGCTGTGGCCATCCCTCATGCTCCTTGACAACCCAGTCACTGTGCTCAAAGACCATTTCTCAATCTGCTGCACACAGACACTTTTTGGGTAAAATACAACAAAAATTCATTTCTAGAAAAACACAATGAAAATACATGCGAAGATAAAACGCAAGCCCTGTGTTTGGGTAAGTGGATGCGGTCACATTGCTGGAAACATTTCTAAGAGCTGACTCCCAATGTCTGTGCTCTTCTGTGACCCCGCTCGGGTTTGCAGACGGCTCTGGTGCAGGTGCTCATCGGTGACACCCAACGTCCCCTGCCTCTGAGGGGCGCGCTCCCGATTAGGTTTCTCCAAACACCCTCCACCCTTCACCCTGTATCGGCGCCCTGCCCCTGCCCCCCCAACACCTCGAGGGGACATTCCTCTTTGGAGCATCTCCACGGTTAACGGACCACTCCTTGTAGCTATTTTCCGAAGCCCACATTCCACCTGCAGCTAAGAAGGTCCCAGGCGGATCTCAGGGAGCAGAGGCGGCTTTCCTGCCGGTTTCCCTCGGGCTCCTCGCCGCTGATTCCTTCTCACCGCCAGTGCCAGCCGCTTCTCTGCTGCTGGCGACCCCCAGTGAGAGCGCGCTCCCACCCCTGACATTCTCCCACCTGCTCGTGTTATCCTGGAAGACTCAGCAAAATCGGCACATGCGGTGCTTCTAGGGTGTCAGCCCCGATCAGGTGCTCTTTTCTGCTCATTTTATATGATACACGAGAGCTGCTCATGAGTTTAACGTGTATTTAAAGCCATTGTAACTTAATAGGCTGAGCTCATCTGACCGCCTCCCCCAGGACTGTGGAGCTGGCTCGTCTTTGGGTGACCTGTACCTTTTGAGGAGCAGTTGTAGGAAGGATTTAAGGAACATGCTCCAGCCAACATGTGGGAATGTTACTTCGCTTCAAGTCCTAAAAATAGTCAGGTCTGCGTCTGCCCAGGCCCTCATCCACACAGGGTCATTCTTGCCATTCTGCTGGTAAGCTGGCTTTCTCCGGCCACCAGAACAGACGGGTGGGGGTAGAGCTGTCCTCGGCTACACAGCGGAACGGACCCAGGGCATCGCCTGGCGTTTCGGCATCTCACGAAAACGTCGCATCTGAACTTCATGTCCCTATCGTCCGTTATCACCCCGTTTGGTGCTAGTTCACAGCACTGTCACTGCTGGCGTCACCCCCTCTCTGTGGGAAAACCGCCCGGTCCCCTCCCATTTTACCAGTTGTGCCCAGTGTGTGCTTGCTCTGGATCGACAAATCATGGAACCTATTTTATTTTCTGCCCCCACAGATTCTAACAAGATAGAACCATCTCTTCATAGCCTCCAGAAATTTGTCCCTACAGATTACGCCAGCTACACGCAGGAGCATTACCAGTTTGCAGGCACGAAGATCGTCATCCAAGAATCCATAGAGAGCTACGGAGCGGTGGTGTGGCCAGGGGTGAGACAGCCATTACCTTCGGGATGTCGGGGCTCCTGGGGGCGACAATTCCACCGCGGACAGGTTGCCGGGTGCTTTCACCTTCCGTGCTTCTGCGGAGGCGGGTCACGTGTGGGCCGGGGGGCTGGGGTGCACTTGGCTCCGCAAAAGCCCAGCATCTCTCCCAGAAGCATCATTTCCCTCTGTGCCATGTTTCCTGAAACATTATTTTTTACATCAGATCAGCTTGAATATTTCAGGAAGTAAGATGAAAAATTCATATGAATTTTGAGGAAAAAAACAATCGGAGCCGGGTGCTCGCTTCCCTTCCACGCCATGGGTGTTCCCGGGGAAGCGGGTAGGAAGCCGCCCCCCTCTCCTCCCTGCAGGCCCCCATGCGAGGAGGGCCATGGGAATGGGGGAGACGCTCTGAATCGCAAGCCAATCTGCTAGTTCCTGGCTGCTCGCTTCGCCTCCCCCACCTTTTTTTCCACACCGGGGAGGTTGGGCGGTGTGAGCACTTGTGGAGGCTGCGTATCACGCCTGCCACCTGGGATTACCAACGTGCCACTGTTTGCAGCTGCCAGTTGGGGAGGTGGGGGCTCAGAAAAGTCGACTCATTTGGGAGAGCTGTGCCACCGGGGTTGGGACATTGGCCCTCCGATGCCCGCTGGGTTGTTCTTTGAGAGGCTTGGGCTCCAAGCTGCTCTGTCGCTGGCGGGGAATGGCCTGGGGTTTGTCTTCCAATGCAGACCTGGGACTCAGAGGTGCTGCCACTCCTGGGGGCGGGGGGCAGGCCCCTGCTCCAGGGACCGCAGCTGAGCGTCAGGGGTGGAGGTGCTATGGAGCTCCCTGGGGCAGGGGCCTGGGTACCAGTGGCAGGTGATGGGGGACAAGGAGGCTGGACGAGGGGAGGGGCAGACAAAGGGCTCCAGGCTCCTAGAGCTGCCCACCCCCATCCCCTAGCTAAGGAAGCTCAGTGGTCCCCCCCCCCCCCGTGCATGTTAAGTATGATTTCCTTCATAGGGAAATCCTCCTCTCGGGCTTAATAACAAGTTTGAAAACCACCAACCTGCTCCCCAGCTCCCTATTGTAGTATATTTGGCAAAGGGACAGCCATAAGCAGGGGTACCAGGAGATCAGGAATGGAAGAATATTTGTCCACAGGACCATTTTATTCCAAGGCCTCTCCTGGCACCCCCAGTTCCCGAAAGCTGCCAAGGAAGGGTTTACATGACGTGCGAAAACCCGCTTCCTCGTGGGACTCCAAGCGCCGCTGTCGGAGAAGGGGCTCCCTCTTGCGCGTTTGCTGACGGGGCTGGGAAGCTGCGGGCGGCGCAGTGCCGTGCTTCCTGAGAAAACCCGGCAGGGCACTGAGGGACGCGGGGAAAACCCCTCAAAGCACGGCTCCTTGGGGGCTCTAGGTGACACTCCTGCTCACAGGGAAACCCCTGCCCTCACAAATCACTAACCTTCCTCTTCATCCGGAAGCTCCCTCCCCAGCGCCAGAGCTCTTGGCAACGCGCCGTGCGTGGCTGTTTCACCCGCCGCCCCCCGCTGGACACTCGGGCGGCTGGACACCCCCCATCCCTCAGCGGCTGGGGCACGCCCCGCGCCCCCAGCGTGTGCCTCCTTGACGCCGCTCGCCCGTCCCGGGGCCGGCGCACCGCCCGGCCTGCGTCCCCCGGAGAGGAGCCGTGACCGCACGTTCGTCTGGGCGTGTGGACTCTTCACTATGAACACACGGGGGGGGCGGCAGCCTGTGGGCTGGGGTTCCTGCCGCCCCAGCCCACGCCCCCCCACAAAACGTGGCGTCCCATCAAGTTCAGAGCAGCCGCAGGAAGACGGGAGGTGCGAGCGCACAGGCCAGAGCTCGGTTTGCTCCGTCATCTCAGGATTCACGTCCTCCTGCCGAACCCTTCCGATCTCTCTCCTCCGCCGCGCTGCCGAGACCCCGCCGGCGTAAAGGCGAACGCCTCATCAGTCAGTGCAAATCCAATACCCTTGAGCTCCCCGTACAAAGGTCAGGAGAAGGTGGAGGCAGAGAGAATGAAGGGATAAGGAAAAGAACGTTTGAGCTGCCGTCTACAAAGTTATCTCAGTTCATTCACACGCTTTTTAGCATCTCCTCGCCGCTCCGCCAAGTGTGGTCCACGGACCAGCAGCACCGCCCTCGCCCGGTGGCCCGTAGAAACGCAGTCGGGAGCGGCACCCCCCCCCCCCCCGCCCCAGAGCCGGCGCCCCTTAGAAGCACTGTATTGACAGTCAGTTTCTTAGATGACCGCTTGAAAAAAATAAACTGCTCAGTTGTCCAGGGTAGCAGACAAAGTCCTAACCCACCCGAACTTCGAGAAAGGAGTCAGGAGGGACGTGGGGAAGACGTACAGCAATGCTCTTGAAGCAGGTGGCCGCCGGCGGGACCAAACCAGAGCAAGAGGTTGCTGTTTTCAGGCCTCCTTCCTGGACTTGTAAGAGCCGAGGGGACCTTCCTCTTCCTGGACACTGACCCAGAGTCTTCGGATAGAGGCGATTTAGCAAGTCTGTGTCTCCAGTTCCTCTGATGCGTATCATACCTTTCAGACTCCAGAGGTCCAAATAGGGCATTGAATGCATATTTTGATTCTTCCGAGCCCCTCGATAAACTGCAACTATTAATAACATCTCTCGTAGTATTTCGCTTGGGGTAGGGAAGGGAGGTCGGGCCACCACTGTTTTCCAATGTTCCAACGCTCAGGTGACACCTGCAAATGTTTTTTTAGGCTACCGCTTTGTGTCAGTATTTGGAGGAACATACAGAGGAACTGAATCTCCAAGATGCCAAGGTACTTGAGATTGGTGCTGGACCAGGCCTTGTCTCCACTGTGGCCAGTATTTTAGGTTTGTCTGCTTATTCCTGACTTTGTTTCCAAAACACTTTGACTTTGACAGCAATGCTAGGGAGCGCTTTCTCTCCGGCCAGCTGTGACTCAGGTGCTTGGCCATGACTTCACTCACTGAATGTCCCAAAATATCATGAGCTAGGAATTAGTGCTGTTGGCCCAGAAATAAGATAATCGCAGGTGAGAGAGAGAGGTTAGGGGACCTGCCCGGCCCACCGAGGACCGTGTGATGAAGCTGAAATTCGGGAGCTGTGACTCTCCTGTTGTAAACAGCTATGTTTATGCTGTCTCCTGCTTTTCGTTGCGAATATTGTAACTAACATTTTGAAGAAAAATAAGTGAGTTCATCCAAGGCGGAGACAGATTTACACCAAGTGCAAGTTGTGAGTTCCGGGCACTGAGCAAGAAGAGGTGGGTACAGATGTGGCGTACTTCTGACTACAGCAGTACAGAGCTGCTTCTATTAAATCCAGTCTGGAAATGGGATGGTCTACTTTGTGAACTCTTGTCACGAGCTTTAAAACGCCTAACGATTAATTTAAAAATTTAGGTTGGAGACAGGCAATCATACAAAATAGGTCAAATCTTCAGACAGAGTTTTAGAAGGAAAAACATGATTTATTAAGCAGCTAATTATCCTGAAATCTCCCAACACCACACAACTATTTCTTAAAAAATGATATCATTATTCTATTTCAGTGGTTCTCAACCAAAGGTGATTTTGCCCCATAAAGGACATTTGGCCATTTCTAGAGACATTTTTGATCGCCAGGAGCTGGGGGTGGAGTCTGGGGGTAGAGACCCGGGACACTGTGAAACAGCAGACTGTGCACAGGGCAAAGCTCCCCATGGGAAATTATCCAGTGGGATTGGGTCAAGTATGTCCAGTCCACGTGTAAATGTGGACAAAGCTGAGAAGCCCAGGTCCATTTCTTGTGTCTCCCTGAGTGTCTATGTCCACTGTGGCTGCCTGCATGTTTCTAGGTAATTGTTGCAATTTTTCTCTTTTATCTCTTAGGAGCTCAAGTCACAGCAACGGATTTGCCTGATGTCCTAGGAAACCTTCAATACAATCTTTTGAAGAACACATTAAAACGTGCAGCACATCTGCCGGAAGTGAGAGAGCTGGTTTGGGGAGAGAGCCTGGAGCAACACTTCCCCAGGTCGACGTTTTATTACGACTATGTTCTGGCCTCGGACGTGGTCTACCACCACTACTTCCTGGACAAGCTGCTCACCACCATGGCGTACCTTTGTCAGCCAGGGACGGTGTTGCTTTGGGCAAACAAATTCAGGTTCAGCACCGATTATGAATTCTTAGATAAATTCAAGCACGTTTTTGACACAACACTCTTGGCTGAATTTCCAGAGTCATCAGTCAAAATTTTCAAAGGAATACTAAAATGGGATTAAATTAAACAGAATGCCTTTCGAAACATTAGTGTCTTTTGAGCAGTGTTGGGAATCGTATTGTCAATAAAAGACTTGTGAGATCGAGAAGGTAGTGCATAAAAACGACTTGTATGCCTAGATAAACAATTTAATGATCCCAGGGTCCTGGGATCAAGCCCCGCATCGGGCTCCCTGCTCCGCGGGAAGCCTGCTTCTCCCTCTCCCACTACCCCTGCTTGTGTTTCCTCTCTCGCTGTGTCTCTCTCTGTCAAATAAATACAATCTTTAAAAAAAAAAAAAAAATGTTAAAAGCTTCTTCTCTAATAGGGGAGAACAATAAAAAATCCAGCTACCACCATTTCTCAGCATTATACTAGAGGCTTTAGCCAATGTGGGAAAGCAAAGGAATAAAACATGCACACTTAGAATGCAAGAAAAGGGGCACTATTTGCAGATGATAGCATTGTTTATGTAAGCCAGGGTCAGCAAATCCTTTCGTAAAGGGCCAGCTAATAAGTATCTTCAGTCCACATACTATTTCTACAGAATATGTGTATTATATATATATATTTACAGCCAATTACAAAAATTCAAGATCCACTCTTAGCTTGTTGACCCTGCAAAAAACAGGCTATGGATTGGATTAAACATATAGGCCCTGGTTTGCTGACCCCTGGGACTGTGGATAATCTACAGTGGAATTACTGGAATTCATGAGTTTAGCAAAGTTGCCAAATATCATTATTTTATATAAAGCTCAGTGATGTTACAGCATGGGACCTGACCCTTAAATCTCTTCTTAGACTTATAAGTGGATTTCTTTCACATTTCCAGAACAGAAGGATATGATGATCATATGCTTATTTCCTTATGTTCTAAATGGATACAGGTCTGCCCTTTTAGAAAAGCCAGACTGATCACGATTCTAAAGACTTTGTCTTCAAACTTTTATAGGAAAATTTAAATATATTAGAAGTAGATGAATCATACACTTTAAACGTGCAGTTTATTGTGCAGCAACTATACTTCAATAATGCTGGTTAAATAAGTAGATGAAAGAATCATGACCTAACCCCCCCACCCCCTGCCATGGATTTTCAATTCCTGGCAAATTTTGTTTTATCTGTACCTCCACCTACTTCTCCAATTCTATATTAATTTGAAGGAAATAATAGATATCCTTTCTTCTGTAGATTTGGTTCATATATATGAGACACATAACCATAACTTTATCACCCTAAAAATATATTTTATGTAATATAAAATTTAAACTCATTTAGTATTATATATTTGGAAAATCCAGGGTTCCAATTTCCATTTGTCTCCTAAATGCCATGACATTTATTTTTAGAGTTTGTCTGAACTGGGATCCAGATGGGGTCCACATTTGATTCACTGACTGGCTGGCATGTATCTGAAGTCTCTTTTGACCTGTGGCTTCTCCCTCCCTCTTGCTTTTCCCTCTGGCCATTTATCTGCTGAAGAATCTGAGTTGTCTGTCCTGTAGCATTTCTACCCGCTGCGTTATGCTGACGGCATCACCAGCGTATCCTTCAAAATGTCCCTCCACCTTGTTCTTCCTGTAAATTGTACATTTTCATGACTCAGCTTTGGGACCACCCAGGCCAAGCCCAGCTTGGACCAAACTCCAGCCAAGCTATACTCATGACTGAGAAGAAGTGATTGTTGTTAGAAGCCACCGACTTTTGAGGTGGCTTGGTAGACAGATCGGTGAGGCATATAGGTTAGTACCTTTTAAAATCACACATAAGAGGAAGATTATAGAAGATATTTCCGGCTGCTTTATATTCTACTCACATTTTGGATAGGACTTGGCATAGTCAGGTTCTAGAACTATCATGTCATGACCGGAAATGCAGGCAGTCCCGGACATCTGTAATTGATCCTGGAACTGCAATTATTCATGTTTGACCCTTGAGAGGACATGGCTTCAATACCTTAGACACTTGCTTGTTGAGTTTTTGAAATCCTCTCATAAAAGCAGGGGTTCTAAGCAACACTAACACAAGACCTTTGCAGGAGGGGTGCGGCTAACCTGTTGCCACACAGGGCACAGCGTGGTAGAGCGTCTCTGCCCCTGGCCTGGCCCGCCGCTCGCCGCGCACTCCGGGAAGGCCGCTCCTGCGGGCGGGACACCCTGGGGCCTTTACCGGAGAGCAGTACTTACGCCTCCTCCTTCTTTCCTAGCTTCCTTTACAGTTAGGACCAATGCGGTTTTTTCCTCTTATTAACCGTGTTCAGACTAATACTTACTTTCTTATTCCTTAGGGAAGTCTCTGTTCAAGAGTTTTTTTGAAGATTGGGGGAATGTCCCTCCTTTCCCTCTCTATGCATGCTTCTCTGACTTAGATCCTACAGAGAGACAAAAACATACCTTTTAACGCCAGGCCACTGAGAGCAGAGAATGAAGTGCTGCAGAGGAAGACTCAAGGTAATTCGGATTCAATACATTTTGAGTTGGAACAGACACACTGAATATACCGCCTGAATTTTCTGGATGAGACCCATGGAGGCCTAGTGATGGGGCTCCTCAGGGCCTGAGCCAGGACTAGAGAGCAGAGATTCGGGCTGGGATTCCAGCCGTTCGGTCCAGACATCTCACCGTCAGAGTGGGTAAGGAGGAGAGGGACCAAGTGGGAAGGAGGGGACCAGGCCGTGCTCTTCCAGGGCAAAGACAGGTTATCCAAGGGAGGGGTGAGAAATCCCATGATGGCAAAGCTCCTACTGATGACAACTGGGGAGCTGTCACTGGAAAGGGGCCAGAGACCTGTGCTGAGCACATGCTCTGTACCATCTCTAATGTTTAAGAAGTACCTAGCTCTTTCAGTTGTCTTCAGTGGACGTGGTACAAATTGGCTGCCATTACTTCAAACAGGAAAACTGTCCCTGGCTTTTTTTTTTTTTTTTTAAGATTTTAATTTATTTGAGAGAGCGAGCACGCGCATGAGACAGAGAGAGCAGAGTCGGAGGGAGAGGCTGAGACAGAAGCAGGCTCCCCACCGAGCAGGGAGCCAGAGATGTGGGCCTCCATCCCAGGACCCCGGGATCATGACCTGAGCTGAAGGCAGACGCTTAAAAGACTGAGCCACCCAGGCGCCCCTGTCCCTGGCTTTTCTGAGTACTATTTTACATCCTACATTAACAGTAATGACTTTATTGAGGACACTTTCTTCTAGAGCTTATTCAGGTTCAGCTATCACCATGGAGGTGGTGTGATCAGGAAAGCAGAGGCTGACAAGACAGCCACCAAGTCAGGGCCTCTCACCATGGGTTCCACGGATGGAGCTAATCTTTCTAGAAATTCAGTTCAAAGCAGATTTTGCCAGTCTGTGGATGTACCTGCAACTTCCACAGCAAACTAACTGATCTTCATTCTAAAATTTTACCATCTGTGGAAGACTTTTTGAAAAAACAGAAAACAAAAAACAAAACACCCAAACTTGCCTGAAAATATTCATGCTTTACTGAATGTACTATTAGAAGCTCCATTATTTCACTACCTCCTTCTGAAAACACATAGCTCACTTGTTTGCTTTTCAGTACCGAAGAGAGGGCCAGGGGCCGCCGACTCACATCACATATACGCAGGCTGCCACTAACTGGCCTGTGGAGAGGGCCCAGCTTCTCCCTGCGCCTGGAGCTCCGCATTGTTCTTGAAGTGTATCCGAAATCCACCAGGGGCTTTCTTCTTCTTCCACATTATAAAAGAGAGCACAAAGACCAAAACCTGAGAAAGTAAGAAATCAGGGAGCTCTGGATTGATGGTGTTTTTATATAAAAATAAGTCGTATTTGAAGGATTCTAGAATTGTATCTTTACCTAACTCGGAAGATAGTCTTTCAAAATAAATGTACCCACCAGAAAGTTTCTAACCTTAAATTTATATTAAAACTGGATGATAAATTCATGTGCTTAAAAAAAAGTGTGATGTCCACGAAAATGGGGTACCCATCGTGTCAGTGAAAAAGCACTTGTAAAGATTTTCTTTCTAAAGAGGAATGAGAAAACTGGCAAAAATTCTCCAAGGCAACTTTTTTCATTAGTGTGGGAACTAACCAAAGGCCTGGAGCAAGCTGTGTGTTTTACTCAAGTTAAGATGGCCAAATCTCAGTAAGAACAGAATACTTTGATGTTCCCAACTCTCCTGCTCCATCCCATCTCCAGCTCGACAAGTCACCTGGAAAACCAGCAGCCTGGGGATCACCGGAGAGAGCCCGAGGAGTGGGACCTTCTCCCAAGCTTGTAGTGGTTGTTCCCCAGAAAACCGTCTTCATGAAGGCCATCTTCATTTTACTAGACTCAGCTCCCTCTCAGGCTGAGGGGTCTTTTCCCGAGGGGATGTTTGTCTAGATGATGACAGGCAACTGTGTAATTCTGCGGCTGCCTGCAAAGGTGAAGAGTTGGGGCTAATCCAAAGGCTTAAAAGGAAAAGCTGGGAAATGAGATGTTCACAGGGGCTTTGAAACCTGGTCTCCAGAAGGCCATGCACATCCTAGGGCTGCACACATCCTCAGGAAGAACCTGAGAAGGACCCAAGCTTTCACCTCTGGCTGCCCCTGGGGCTCTATGCAAGCAGGCAGCACTCACTAGAAATGGCAAAACCTGCGTTATGAAACGGACTCTGTAAAATAATCAACCAGTCGGTCACCCTACCCTTTCTGTGCCTCTCAATTTCTCCACTGGATGAACATGTATACATGGGGACCTGTATGACTGAGGATGAAAGTACGTGTTTGTGAGAGTTTGAGAGAATATACACGGGGTTGTTCGTGGATGGACTTTAAATTCTGGATGGCTCAGAAATCGTTTGCAAAATGTTTGCATGCATATCTGTATATTTTCATAAAGGCTCTGTTTTTATCATATAAAGGGGTCAACTAACCCAGAAAACAGTTAGGAGAGACTAGGTAAGATTAGCTGGGAGGTCTTTTATAACAGCAAATTCTAAAGGAACAGATTTGAAAACCACACACACACACACACGTTTGCTGTCAGTGAGTAGAGGCTTTTCAATATTATCTGTGTGTGTCTTTTTATTTCATGGAGGAAGGATGAGAGAAGCAAGTATAGTAGCCAGAAAGATAAAAATAATAAAAAGCCAAAAACATACACAAAAGGT